GGGTTTCCGTGCGAAGCCCCCTCCGCCTTCTGAGCGGAGCTGGGAGGGAGGCACGTGGCGTCAGCGCGGACACGGTTGCGGGTGAGGCGGCCGCGCAGGCTGAGTGGGCCCCGCCAGGTGCAAGCCCGCGCCTGGGGGGCGCCTGCCGGCGGGGTTGCGGGGTTACCATGCGGGGGGCGACTGACAGCCCAGGACCACGCCCCCCCTCCGCCTCCCATCCCCCCACACCCCGCACCCTCAGGAGGAGGGAAGTGGGCGCCTCCCACGGCCCCACCCAGAGCTCAGAGCGCACCTGGGCGGGTGGGGGGTGCGGAGGGGGACGGGGCGCTGGAGGGGGGGCTCCCGCTGGAAACCGGTCCAGCCCGGAAGCGCGCGTGTGGCTGGCTGGCTGTAGAAAAAGGCTGCCTGGAAATCCATGATTTATCCTTAAGGATGAAAACCGCAAAGGCATCACGCAGTGTATGAGGCTCCATTATAAAAATAAATATTCTTTGTTCCCTAATTTCTGTGAGGACAAAAAAGCCCGGTCCTAACAGCTGAGAATGTTTTAAAGGGAAACAGGCAGCAGGGTGACAGCGCGCCCGGGGTTTGGGGCAAGGCCGCCTCTGTGCGTGGGGGGAGGGGGGGTTCCCTCAGACTCGCTTTCGGAGAAACCGGGGTGAGGGGTGTCCCGGGTCTGCCGAGCGCAGGTCGCTGAGTCCACCCAGTTAACGTCGCCTGTGGACTGTTGTGAAAACTGACGTCAATGACAAGCCAGTCTGTCCCCAACTGCCAACCACCGCCCGGCCCCGCAGAGCTGTGAAGCCGGTGAGGCGGCCTCTCGGCCTCAGCCCCTCCACGCGCCCCCCGCCTTCCCAGTCCCGCGCGGAAGGGGCCGCCCCGGCACCCGGCGCCCGCCCGGGCTGGCCGCTCTGAGTCCGCGGGGCGGGTGCGCTCCCGCTCCGGGCGGACGAAGGTCAGGGGACCGGGGGAGACGCAGGCTTCTTAGCTGCAAAACGCCGAGGTTTGACGCACGCGGGTGCGAACCGCCAGCAGGGGGCGTCTCCCGGGATCCGGCGTCGGGGCCCGGCCGCTGGGGCCTGGATTCCCCAGCGCTGCCTGTGGGGAGCCCCCGCCCACGCGCCAGCTTCGCGCAGAGCTCCTGCTAAAGAAAGAGAAGGAGGGCCGGCCAAGTGGCTCAGTTGGTTAAGAGCTCGCTCAAGAGTGTGAGCTCTGAGCAACAGCGGTTCGAGTCCAGCCCGAGCTGAGCAGCCGCT